TGCCTCCATCTCACCCTATCTCTAGCATCCTCACCACCAACCACATCCTCCTCCACATCTTGTCCACGAGAATGGACAAGACTGTTTCTAATCTTGTCCATTCTCGTCACTCTGAATGAAAATCTTAGCACCTTAGCATCTTCAGCTCTGCCTCCAGACAGGGGGTCCTGGACCTCTTGTCGTTTTTGTCAGTGCTGTGATGTATGTTTGTCTCCAGACCATACATCACAGCAGATCTCACTACCATCTTGCAGGCCTTCCCATTCTGTCACAAATCACTCCTGACACTCGTCTCCACAATGCCTCTTATACACTGTTTTAGATGGTCAACCTTGTGTTTAAACTGATCTACCTTCAACTCCTTGCAGCTTCACTGCTACCCCTGTCTCCCACTAATTCACACACATGTATTCTGTCTTCCTTCTACTGACTGATTCCTCTCCCTCCACCTCTCCAGGGTCTCTACCTGCTCCCTACTCTGACTACAGATCACAGTGTCGTCTGCAAACATTATAGTCCCAGGAGACTCCTGCCTGACTTCATCTGTCATATTGTCCATTACGGCTCTCAGAGCTGATCCCCCATGTAATCCCACCACCACCTTGACCCCATTTCACCCTACTGCTCACCTCACCACCGTCTCTCTTTCCTCATATATATTTGTTTTTAAACATATAAAACAAAAAATTGGTAAAATGTAACCAGTCATATTCTATGAACTCTTAAAAAGTATAACTGCATAAATTATACGTCATAAAAGTGACATGCTCAGAGTTAACTAGTTTACAAATAGTGTAGTGAACTCTGAGTAATAGTAGGTTTTCCTGGGGTGAATCATTCAGAAATCTCTGGTGCTAACTCCATTTACCTAATGTTTTATAGTTTTAACTGAAAAGTTTTTTTTTAAAAAATGAATCAAAAGGCTTAGCTGTGGTTCTGTACAGCAGAATAGGAGGCAGAGTTTTCAGCTATTAGGCTCGCCTGCTTTAAGATTAGGTTTAAAACGTTCCTTTCTGATGAAGCTTATAGTTAGGACTGGATCACGTGACCCTTAATTGGCTGCTCCCTCCTGAACTTGGTTCTGCTGGAGGCCTCTTCCTGTTAAACGTTCGTTCCCACTATTGCCAAGCACTGCTTTCAAAGGGTTTGTGTGATTATTGTATTTTTTCTTTATCCTCCTAAGACCCGAACTCTTTGACGGCATGCATTTTTAATTTCTCTTTGATATTTGGGCTGATTGGGACCCGATGAATGTAAAAACAAAGAATTACCAGATTTTTTTTTTAACCTAATTTTGATTCTAAGAAAAATGAGAGCCACATATAAGGAAATTTGTTTAAAAGTTTGATAGAACAGTAGCAGTATAATGTCCTTGTAAGTGGATATCAGGTGCTTGTAGAGCAAAATTGAGTATTTTGGTCTAAATAACCCAAAATGTGATGTCCACATATGACATATGTGGACGCCAGGTCCTATGACTGGATCTTTACCTTACAGTATAAAGCTGTTGTTGGGAACTGCTGCTATATAAATAAAGTTGAATTGAACTGAATCTTGGTATTATTGAGACCTGAAAACTAATCTAATACAACATTGCTATGGAAATGGGCATGAAAGTTACATTCATTAGCCCCTGGAGGCTCTTGATCCTTTGTGTTATAAATGTTCTGCCAGAAGACGCCAAATTCCCACTTGTGTTTTAAACAGAAAAAGACGAATTCCTTGTTGATGAAAAGGTTAAAGGGCGCATGGGGCGGAAGAGATGACAAGACTTGAAACTGACAGGAAGCCAGAAGAGTAGAAAAGGCCGTGGTCAGGTTTTGTGTTGTGAGCAGAAAACAGCTTTAAGCAAAATAGAATAAATATATATATAAAAAACTTTATAAATATGTCCTAAGCTTTAACTTTTGACAGTTTCTCTGTAATTACAAGACCGGAGGAGATCTGTAGCTTTGTCGAGCGCCACATTCCTGAACTGAATCCTCCTACATCTTTTTTTGAGGTGGATCAGTTGACACTGAGCCTCTGTGTTGATCAGCTGGAAGCAGCTGCCTTCTCTTCTCATTAACTGGACTTCTTCCAGAGCTCATTATCTTCAGCAGGTGACACATCTGTTTTCTTAAAATCTCACAGTCCTTTAGAAAACTACTAAATGTTTTTTATTTCACTCGTTAGGAAAATATTCACAACGGTAGGTGTAAGTGAAAGAATTTATGATGAACAATGAACAAGAGTTTAATGTCTGTTTATTTTTATTTTGAAAGGTAGCCTGGAGCTTATCCAGGTGAGTTTCAGCATGAAGTAATTTCCTCTCTGTCCATAGACAAAGAGACATCTCAGAACATTAAAATGATACAGATTTCCTTAAATTATGATCACAAATAGTTAAATGAGAATATAATCATTAGAATTAAATGCTTCTAATACCTGAGTCCTAACCTCTTACTGTGATGTGTGTGTGTGCACTTCTGTGCTGTGATTTTTTTGTGCCAATGAAGAGTGTAAACATTGCAAAGCCCAGATCTTGTCTGAAGGAGAAACAGCCTTTAGTCAGAATAACTAAGCAAATATTCAGAGAATGTCTGACTTTAACATGTATGATTTAATAAAAGAAGTAATGAAATGATGAAATGGATAGTCGTGAGATTGAGCTGATGATAAATCCTGTTGAAGTAAAATAGCATAATATGAATGACACATAAAGGAAAATATATTCATGTTTTATGGAGTTCATGATAGATCATGTTAAAGTACAACATAGAAAATAAGAAAATGTGGTTTTAGTGTTGCTTTGAATCATGTATGCGCAAGGTCAGAGAAAGAGAGAGAGAGAGAAAGAGAGAAAAGCAAAATGGGGTGAGTTAAAATACGGTGATATAAATGTCATAGTTGTATGATACGGTCATCAAAGTGAGGGAGGAGAGAGAGGAGTTGTTCTTCTCTTTGTCTCCTGTGAGATTAGCAGAACAGAAGATCAGATCTAAGATTTTACAGTTGGGAATTTCGGCAGAGACAGCAGAGGGATCAACTGTGGACTCACAAATTGGGTTTATATTTTTAGGCTTTTCCTCTGCTCATTTTTGATGTTTCAGATTATACATTCAAGATGATTTGATGAATATCAGATGAATATCCTGCATTAAAAATGTTTACCTTGTGGAGATTAACTTTTTAACATTTGGTGAAACAGTAAAGGTGAAAACCTGTGTTTTATTACACATTATTAACATCCCTCAAAGGGTCTTACAAGTGACTCTAGCCTAAAAAAATAACAGATCCCTTGGGACCAAGTTTAGTTACCAAGTACACAGATTTAGGGAAGAGCTGCTGATAACGGGTTTGACTGGCAAGCATGCCTTCAGAGGCAGCAGGATCGACATCCAGAAGGTTGAGGAGCAGTTAGAGCTGGGAGAGACTTCTCCCTTTTTCCATCTAAGCTCTTGCATATATTGTATAAACTGTACTGGGGGTAGCTGGTTGAAATTCAAAAGACGGGAAAGCAAAAACGAAAGATTAAAAAATAAATAAATAAGGACCAAATGTTATCTGACAATTAAATGTATTTCATTTAATCCTGTAAAACCTGAACCATGAAAAAATTGCCAGAATTTTTTTTCTTTTAACTGGAGTGTTTATTGAACCTTCTGACAATTGAAACAATTTATCAATTTTAAAGTTCATCTTAAACAAAAACATATAGTAACATTAGTGTTAAAGCAATAACACTTCTGAGGTGCCAAAAACACTTAGTGTTACAGGGTTAAAGTTAGAGTTTCTAAACTTAGTGTTTAAAAGATGAAAATGTTCAAGTTGGGTACCTCTCCCTCATCAGAGAAACACAGCTGAAGTTTTTTCCTTCTGTGACACAAAACACACAATTTTCAACCAACTTTAATTTTTCATAACTGAGCTGAACATATTTCCTCTCACATGACTTTTTTTAATGTGTTTAAACTGAGCCTTGACTTATTAGATGTTCCCTTGGATGTCTATAGATCTATTAAAGCTCTATAGAAATCATTAAATGATGAATTCAGATTAGTTTTTATTGACCCTGAAATCCTTTAAAAATAGAAATGAAAAAGATTTAATCATGTCGGCAACGCAGCTTGAGACAGTTGACTGGTGACTCACTTTGGTCTCTTTGAAATGTGCTGAAAGTTTTTTTCTGTCTTCATTACTGAATGACAGTGGGCACTGAGTTGTCACAGAAACTCTGCTTTCCAGCGATAGCTGCCAGGTCTGAAGCAGCAGCCCGTGTGTTTTTCAGAGCTGCAGACTGATCGAGTAGCACGCTGTTAGTGGAGTCATTTTAGCAGGGCCACTCCTGGGGCTCTGATTAGAGGCACTTTGGCTCGTTCTGTACCTCCTGATTACTCCTGCTGCCGTGCCTCCACTGATTTTAGTTTAGGCACCATCTTCCTGTGTCGTTTTCCATCTTTGTGAAGACTCACAATCAATGTTTGCAGTTACTTTGGTTGCTCTTTTCCACGTGGAGCCCCAATACAGACAGCAGCAGCTTACAACTACAAAATTGAGCCAGTTTCAATGATAGATTTTGAGACCCTGATTGTTAAAAAGGTGCTAACGCACAATTAACAGTGGCTACATTAACATTTTAGGTGCTTATATTTGTCATAAAGACGATCTATGGAGCTCCTTTTTGGGCGATAAACATCAGCTAAGGTGACATTAGTCAACAGAAAATAGTGTTTTTATTCATGATTCTGGTTTGTGAGTCTAGCTAGCTGGTTAATAGTTTACTAGAAACTTTTAACAGACGCTATGAGCTGGGCATCATAGTTAAGTACTGAATAAATACTTTCAATATTACTTCAATAATGCAGTATTACTCTCAGTATGAATTTTTGTTAGCAAATTATAACCCATGTCTTTCCTTCATTTTTCTTTAACATGTAGAGACCTCCATAAGAAGCAGGCTCGGGGAGGGACAGACATCTAATGGGTAGCAGCTGTGGGATGGATGGAGCAAAGAGGAGACAAGAGGAATAGAGAGAGACTCCAACAGCCTGAACCGACAGCTAAAGCTATAACTAAGAGAAGCGTCTGGGTCAGTGATCCAACTTTATCAGACGTTTTGAAGCCTAATCTTCAAACCAGAGAGAGCGTTCGTCTCCTCAACCCAAAACACTCACCTTGTAAAAGATGGAGATGTTGCTGTACGTTGCGAGGACGCTGGTCAGGACGCCATTACAGAAATCTCCATTTCCAACGTAATCAGGAGGGCACGCACATGAGACATCTGCACACACAAAAATATTTTTTTACAAACTGTGAGCTGAACGTTCAATCAGCTCAGTATGTTCACCTTGAGTTAAGCATGTACATGAGCCAATGCTGTGACTCAAGGTTAACACACTCCAGCCCAGGACTCAGAATGACTGTTTTACGCGGCTGTGCTTTATGCTTTTTACCTCATTATCCGCTGTTTTATGAATCATTGAAGATAGCATGACTCACAGAGCCACAGCATTAAAGTCCAATGCAAAGTAAACAACACATTAAAGTGGGAGTACAGATCAGGGAGGACCTGCTTCTGTCCACACACACACACAGATTCACCTCTGAGCCTGTAGCAGTAGGCGTCATACTTGCTGCTCTGGTCCATGGGTTCTTTGTACAATACGAGACCCACGTGGTTGTCTCCACACGTGACCGAGGGGTAGCGGGTCGGGTATCCCGCCTTCCCCCCGTCCAGCCAGCCAGCCACACACAGATGCATCCCGAGCTGTCAGGGCCAGGGAAAAAAGTCTTGAGATAAAGCTTGATTTACATTTCTGCCTTGAACTAAAACTAAACTAAAATCTCCTGAAGTGACTGGTAATATCTTAAATATCACAAGAAAACTGAAAACTCACATCCTGCTTGTGTTTTTAAGCTTGTGATTAATCTAACGTTCTTCCTGCTGTCTGTGAATCAGTTAAAGGGCACCTTGGCTTGTGGGGTAAAAATCCAGAAAGTTCCCTCCTCTTTTCCTAAGCACTTTACCTTGATGGAAACTGTCATGAGGTCGAGTGAAAGTGTGAAGGAGGACTTGGACTTGTTGCTGGCATGAGTGTGCTGCGTTAAAACTACAACATCCTGAAGATGAACTACAAAAGGCACATCTTAACACCCCATGTGTCCATACCATGTTATTTCACACAAATGGTAAACAAAGAATGTATCTTTTCAAAGCTGAAATTAGAAAGAAAAAGGCAAAGGCAGCTTATAAAATGAAATGATACGATGTCACTGTCAGGAAATGTGGGAGTAAAGATCCAAATGCAGAAGTCCAAGACTCCAGCTTAGCAATATTCAGAACAGCAGTTAATAATACCACAAAACCCACAGACAGTCACTCTGGCTTTAGCTGACATGTCAAATTGTCAGCTTGTATTTTCTCTTCCTGCTAGAGAGATGGTCAATGTAACTCCAGCGTTTGTTAATGTTTTCTGTGACTGATGCCAAGTTATTAATAATCCTAAAGGCTGGAAACACAGCAATGCTTACAATCAACACACAACTAATGCAAGGTTGAAGTATACTGAACCTTTAATTCAGTTTTATCTTTATTTATTCTTAACATTTAAATAAATCACACAACGCAGCAACTTCATAAGTTGCATAAGGTCCCACAAAGGTACAAAGTTTCTTTTTCCTAGTGTGTCACTTTGAACTGTGCAGCATCATTATCTTCTTCCCATTTGAACCATCTTTCCTCAATATCTGAAGAATTCAACAACTACCATTATGGCAGATACTTCCTGGTCACTTCACTCAGTTAGGGGCCTTTTAAAATAAAACAGATTATCTGACCACAGCCATGGACAACATCTGCCATCTGATAACGTCTCACAGTTACCATGCACTGCTCACAGTTCAGGTTCTAATACAGCTGAAGTGAAGAAGCTTTTCTATTGGCCGTGCAGGTGATTTTTAGTGTGTCATTCAGTGTTAAAAAACTGTAGTACCTGCAGAGCTCCTGAAAAATGTGGCATGCTACTCAATGAGTTTGAGAGCGCCGTGACATTTTTGTTTTCAAGTACTCTTTCACTAACAAAGGTTTGAGTTGGCTGCTTTGCTGCTTTTCTTGAAAACTGCTGAATGCTTCCCCGTCAGCCTAACTGACCGTGAAGTGGGTGTGTCTTTATAATGAAGACAGAATCTGTAGAAAAACCCTGCTGCATTTCATTTTCCTTTTTTCTCATAGGTATACCACATATTTGACTCTGGTGTATCGACCTGTTGATATCTCTATGTAAACCCTTTCAGTAGGTAGGTTTACCTGCTGTGCGTCTCCCATCTGTTTAACGGTAGCCAACGTGGCGCCCTCAGCCTTGCACTCGGCGTCGGCCTGACTGAAGTTCATCTGGTACCTCCCCTTTGGAGAGCGCAGGTGGAAGACTCCGGCTCGGTTTTCTGAAGCATGACAATCACGTTAACTTCCCTCAGATTTCTGCACCATTCTGTACAACAAATATCAACTCTACGAGTGAAAAACACGATTTGATCCGATGCTGAACAAATCCAAGAGACATTCACCCTCAGATTCAGTAGAAACATCTGCTTTTCTTTTAATATGATGTAATTACTTGGTGTTTAAGTTCTGATGAGTAAAGCACGAATCAATTAAATGTTACATAACCTCGGGAACTTTTTTTTTTTTTTTGTTCCTGTGACAAGAAGTTCAAATGACAGAAATGGCTCATCAACACCTTTGCTGCCACTGTGCAAACAGAGTAAAGTCTCACCTCACAACCTTAAACAAATGGTGTCCAGTGTGTGTATTATCTTTTTGGACTGCTTAGTCTTTTTCACAAAGTGAACGATACAACAGCTCTAACAACTTCAGCTCCTTGTACCAACAATGATTTCTGCTGTTTCATGACCTGCAGTGCTTTTTTGCTGGCTTTCGTGCAGTTACAGGTGCTTGTGATTGATTTTTTTTTGTTCGTGGGAACTGTGACATGAACATAGCTTTGTAACAACTTACAGAGAATGACTACAATGCCGCCATGTTCTGAGTGCCTGATTAGGAGCTGTGTGACGAGCCGAACCAACATTAAAATGTATCGCACTCCAGCAGGTCAGCAAGTCAGCAACATCCCCCTCATCTCCCCCTCATTTTGTTTTTTAAATTTGCAATCTATGGATGTGGACAGTGGAAAAAAAAATAGATTTTTCAAGGTTTGAGGATTTTTGTTTAGAAAATAGGTCATGATTTCTGGAAAGAGACATGAGGGCAGATTTCTCTACAGCTGATTTCACTACAATCCTTTTCTCTGGTTGGGTGCCAGGTGCTTATATCCCACAAACTTAATTAAAAGGGTAACTCTGAACGGATCATTTATGGTGAATTCTCAATTATCTGTAACCCTGATTAATGAAGGTCAGGTTAGAAGTAATAACAGCCTTTGAGCCTTTAATGAGCTCCATGTTTAACAAGCCTTAACGAGCTCCAGATCCTAATGAGCTCAACTCAGAGCTGACATTTGTTTACCAGCCCCAGAAAAACAAATAAATAAACAAATGGAAGTCCTCTATAATAAACAATGCTAGCCATAATGTCACCATGGAAACATAGATGCTACAAAGGTCATCTGCTTTAGAATCAGTCTGATTACCATGGAAACTGCAATAGAGTAGGACTGGGAGCCAACATGGCTCCCACTCAGCAGATGTGACACGTGGCTACACTGCAGTTCATGGCTTCACTGCATTCACATGTCTTACCGTGGTAATGCAGGTCCTTGCAGATCGCCACAGGGTCACAGCCTCCATTGTCTTCCAAGCAGCGGTCAACAGGGGGCACCATCTTCTCCAAACACTGGACTCCATTACCTACATACCCCGGCAAGCACTCGCACTCCCGTTCATTCTAGAAGAACCAGATTAGAGTGATCAGCTCACAGGAGGATGTCATGTTATGTTCATATTCAGGGATATTTTTAGAGGGAGACACGTCACTCGAAAAACCATTAATAACAGTAACGGCAAAGATGCTGCTTTTCCCGCCCCAGCTCCAAAAAGCCAGTCAGCAGCTTGGGAACAACTGGGAAACCAAACATGATTTTGTGCAACAGTTTCGAACTATGTGTTGGTGAGCTTATAGTTCTACTCATGATTGCAATAAAGATGAACACTGTGTATTATTGGCACAAGTGTGTTTCAGCTGGGTAGCTGTGCTGCCCTTCCAGCGAAGCACTCGTTTGTTGTTTTGCTTTGTTGTTTTAATTTGTTGTGTTTGGTGGCTATCCTGGGTGGGGGTACGCTTCAGAGTTTGGTAGGAGACTATATCTCTGGTCTGCTGCCTGCTCTCGAGTTCGCGTTTAAAGTTGCCTTGAGCCTGGTACACCACTGAAGACTAGGATAGGTAAAGTTAGGGTTTTGTTGTTTTTAGTGTTTTAGGCTGGGAGTTGCACATAGTAAATCAGTGGCACCAAACTTGGTAGGAGGTTTGAGACCATTCATGATTATGGTCTGTAGCTGAGGCAGGTAGGCTGTTTTTAAGTTGGCATTGTGTGTACGCCATGTGTGTGTGCATATGTCAGTGTTGATGGATGCAAATGAGATCCTCATGAGGTGAGTGTTTTGTGCTGTGACCTTTAGTGTTGTGGGGAATATGGTATTTTGTTGGATCACCTTTGAGTGTTGTTGGCCAGGTGATGGCAATAACACTGTGGGGTGCTGAACCACCCTTGATGTGATCATTTGTGTGGCCATAGCTCTCCATTTTGTGGTTGGTCACTAGCATGCTTGCTTTACTGAACTTTGTGGATTAAGTAACTTGTTGTGGTATAGGGCCACTCATATGTGACCGTTTGTGTGGTGGAGACCACAGATCACTTGTGTGTGATTGTTCGTGGCTGGTTTCATTTTGTGTTGTAACAGGCTGAATAATCATTTTGGGTTTGTGACTGTTGTACTCCTTTGTGTTGGTCACATGTTACTTTTTTTGTGTGTGTTCAGTGTGGCAACTTCAGATCCTCATGTAGGGGCATCCATGCTTAAAGATGCCAACTTATTTTTGAGGGATCAAGGCTTCAGAGGGACTTTTAATTTGTTTAGGGGTCCTAGAGGAACCCTTTTAAGGGAGGAGGTGTTACGTCCCTCTGCAGCCTCTAATCTGCTCAGTGTGTTCAGCTGGTGCTAATTGGCCACACCTAGTCAGGTGTGGATAAAAGCATACCTGAGGCAAGCTTCCCGGGAGCTCACTTGTCTTTGCCTTGGTGGCACCAGCCATTTTAGCCGACCTGATATTCCATTTTAAGACAAAACCTCTGTTCACCTACACTCTGGTATTCGTCTCCTTTTTTATGTTGCGCCTTTGAGCCGGGTCGTAACAATCCATAATGTGAAATAGCATGGGATTGGATTGTGCAGTTACTTTGGATTTAACCTTGAGCAAAGATATAAAGTTGTGTATTTTTGTGTCTGTGCAGTAAAATAATAACATTTGAGGCTTTGAGGTGAGATGCACTTCTGTAACTGCTTTTGGGGAAATTTATTTAAATCATATTTGTACTTTATTCAGAGACACATAATCAAACACTTATCAAATCCATAACCATTAATTTTTATAACACTTTTATCTGACAGAGTCCCAGGTACCACCCAGAAGCAGCTGAATATGCACTTAAAATAACTTTGATTTCAGTGTTCCATGTTTGAAAATCCGATAGCATCTCTTGACTGAAAAATGAATTCATGCATCCATGTTTTTATGCAAGCTGGACAACATTGGGGCATGCTCCTAATGAGACAATGGATGGTGTGCTGGGGTATCTCCTCCTCTGGACCAGGGCATCACTGAGCTCCTGAAGAGTGTGAGGTGTGGGATGGATTTAACAAATTTGCCCAGGTGTTGTACTGGATTAGTTGTGCTATTTAGGTTAGGTGAGCTTGGGGGGCAATTAATGGTATCAATTTCTTCATCCTTCATGAACTGCCTGTATACTCCTGCCACATGAGGCCAGGCATTGTTGTGTACCTAAGGAGCCCAGGAACCACTCCACCATTGTAGGGTCTGACAATGAGTCCAAGGATTGCATCTCAATATCTAATGGCAGTCAGGGTGCTGTTGCCTGGCTTGCATAGGTCTATGCCTCTCTATTACTGACCCACCACCAAACCAGTCATGGTAGCAAACAAGATGGACGAGCTATCAGTGATAGCTTGGAGTCAAAGGGAACCTCAGGTGTTAAACTTAATTGAATCATGGATGCACCAGAATATTCCCGATGAGAACACATCTGTGGAAGGGTTCAGGCCGACAGACAGAGGTAAGCAGAAAGGAGGGGGGTTGCCATTTTTTTAACAACCGGTGGTGTACTTGCTTACCTACAATCAAAGAGTGGATTTATTGCCCAGACACTGAACTTTATGCTGTTGGACTCAGGTCATATTATTTGCCCAGGGAATCTACCCATGTGAGCTTGTTGGGAGTCCATGTTCCTCCCTCTGCTAACCCCACAGCTCCATGTGACATTCTCCACTCTGCCATAGTCCAGTTACTGACTCAGCACCTGAGTGCCTTCATTGCTATCTCGGGTGACTTCAACATGTCACCTTAGACGCTACATTGTCAACTTTCACACAGTATGTGGTCTGTTCCACCTGAGGGGAGAGAATTTTAGACCTACTGTTTATAATCAAGCACACATAAGCCCGTTTCATTAGTAGCTTCTCAGATCGACTCTGTATGGTTGACCACGGTTTTCATGATTTTCCATTAGGTCATAGTACCTGGTAAATGTTGGAATTGATATTTTTTATATTGTCATTTGTGCTTAGGAACATATAATCATTTGTATGCTGATAAAAAGCACATCCTTATTAGGTCTGATAAGATTCTGTGGGCACTTGTGTACCATGAGATGAGAGGAAGCAGCCTCGGCGTTATAATTTCCATTATAGCTTTAGGAACTAGATTGTTGTGTTTCTTAAAAGTGCAAAACTTCACACCTTTAAATGTTCGTCTGAGACAGGACCTATTGCAAGTTTCTATTCTTATCATTTAGCGAGACACTTACTTCTGCTTTTCTGCATGCCTCATACACACAGTTTTAGTTCATTGAAAGGTCATATTTCTATGTATAGTATAGCTGTAAACACACACACACACACACACACACACACATGCACCTAAACACACCCACAGAATACAGACACTGATGTTGTTCAGATATGCCTGCTTAAGAATGTCACATGTATTTGTAATTGCATATTCATGAATGATTGCTTGCTGACAATAAAAATGGTAAATGGTAAAATGGCCTGTATTTGTATAGCACTTTACTTAGTCACTACTACACTACTACATTCAGTCATCCACCCATTCACACACACATCCACGTGCTGGGAGTGCAAAGATACTTGGTAGCTAAAGCTGCCCTGGGGCGCACTGACAGAAGCGAGGCTGCCATATCGCACCATCGGCCCTTCTGGCCAACACCAGTAGGCGGTAGGTGAAGTGTCTTGCCCAAGGACACAACGACCGAGACTGTCCGAGCCGGGGCTCGAACCGGCAACCTTCCGATTACAAGGCGAACTCCCAACTCTTGAGCCATGATCACCACGAAAAGGGCTGTTGCGAAGGAATCAGTTGAAGTTGGCTAAAGGACAGGTGAAGGGAGCATTACTTGGCCTTGACTGACTTCCCTTGCAAGCCAAAAAGGCAAAAGAGCTCTGTCTTGACTTGATTTGTTGTGCAGTTTGGGCTTGTGTTCCAGTGAGGTTTGTGCCTAGATAAACCCAACAGTAAGATGTACTTTTTTAGTACCCACTTTCTTGAGGTTCCAAGCAATCCGATGTGGCATACGTCAGACTGCATATCACCAATTGGCTGGTCAGTAGTGTCATGCGATGAGCCATGAGAGCGTCTTGTTCACAAAAATTAAAACCGCCATTTTTTAAACATGTCAATGACGGAAATGGCTACAAAAATAATGCCATGGTGCTCAAGTCTGATGAAAAGCCAGAGTCCGAGCAGCAGGTATATTCTTGTCTAGACACCCACCTTTTTTGTAACGTTCATGTTAATTACTTCACGGGACAATTGGACACATTGCTATGACAGCAACCATGCAGGCTAGGTAGTACTGGATTTGAATGGAAAACCAGTTGATCCGAGTTGAGTTGTAGCGAGTTGATCCGAGTAGGTATTCATGGGAAATGGGCTATACAGTTCCTCCTCCCTCCCCGGATTGGGTAGGTCAGATCATAACCTGATTCATGTTTTGAGATTCACAGACTGGGAGACACTCTGTGAGCCTCATGGTCAGGACATCAATGGGCTTACTGAGTGTATCACTGACTACATAACCTTCTGCACCGACTCCATTGTCCCAGCTTAGACTGTCCATTGTACAAACTGAACATTCCATCCATTCTCATGGGTAACGTAAGATCTTTACCCAACAAGATGGAAGCGCTAATGGCACTAACCAGGCTGCAGTGGGAGTACCAGGAGAGCAGCCTCCTGCTGTTCACTGAGACATGGCTCACAGACCACACACTGGACCCCGTCGTAACTCTGGATGGCTTTCAACTGGTTAGAGTTAGGTTAGAGGAGAGGAGCGCAGTGGAGAATGGTAAGAGGGGAGGTGGGGGATTAGCAATGAAGATCAATGAGAGATGATGTAACCCGGGACACATCACTGTGAAGGAACAGCGCTGTACCAAAGAATCAGAATCAGAATCAGAATACTTTATTGATCTCTCGGGGAAATTATTTCCTGTTAGCGGTTAGCGTTCGGCCATATCACCTGGCCTGGGATTTTTCACATGCTATTGTGCTGACTTTTTACATTCTGCACTCGGCCAATGCTATGGCAACCTGTGAGTACATTCACTCCACGGTCTCTCAGCTACAGATGG